TCATTCATAATACGATGCTCATAGCGATAAGACTAAACAAAGTTAGGCTGATTGAGTAAATCTATGTATTTTTTATTCTTATTTTCTAGTTGTCATATATTATAATGTCAAAATAGTTTTACATATTTTTTTTAAACTTGCAAAAAGTAGTTTTACTCAGTGCAATAAAATCTGGAGTTAATTTATTTTTCAATCAATTTATCTAAAATCTATTCTTATGAATAAAAAATATTATTAAAACAAAAAACAATGGTCGCAATTAATTATTTAAAAGCATTTTTTAGAATAAAATTATATTAAGTCAAAAAAAAATATTTAATTGAGTATTTTTAAATTTTTATTAAAAAATAAAAATAAATACAGAATATTATTTGCACTGCATTTATTCGATAAAGATGATTTTTTTTAAAAAACCGAACCATTGGTTTTTAAAAAAAGAAGAGTGCAACATACCATTATTCTTCTCTAGAGAGAAACATCAACAAATATGCTCATAAATTTTCTATTTAAAATTGGATATTTTAACTATATTTTGGAATGACTTAATATTCTATACTTTTTTTTTCTTCCTGAAAATATTATGCCCTTAAACTTAAAAATTACCGTATTTTCGGAATGACATTTAGAGTGAAACTATAGAATAAGAGATTCAGTTATAACCCATTCAAAGCGTTGCTATAAACAGTGCATATAATTCTTTGGAACAGATAAAAGGTCGAATCCTTATATTTATTATTTCACTTGACCGTTTTTAGAAAACAAGGAAAACTAGACCTTTTCAAAAACAGGTTGCAAGGCTGAAAAAACCCTCCCATAAACTCATATATTCTTTCTTGGAATAGGGTAGGGCAAGAAATTCATAGCTCAATCGAACATTCGGCTTCCTCTAAAAACCTCTCTCTCAGAATCCTTATCAACCCTACCCTCCAAACTATTTTTTTTTTCAGTCATACAACTGTAATCATTCCTCGCATATTTTCAATAGAGGAATCCTTATAGAGGGAAAGGAGTGTATGGGAGGGACTGTGGGGGTGAGAATCCCTACTATGTCTAGGACATACCTGTTTTTATTCTGTTTCCGTTCTTTTTTTTTTCTCTTCGATATGTTTTTTTTAATTTTTTTTTATTACAAGTCTGCGGAAAGAAATGCGGAAGAATTTGCAGAGGGGAAAAAAAAATCAAAATACAGTAAAATAAATACAACAATTTGGGTTTTAGTGCTATGACTCACGTTACAGTTTTGTCTTCTATGCCTTTTACTTTATCTATATTTACTATTAAAATAGTAAACAAAGGAAAAAAAAATACTGTAATAAATTGTATAAAAGATTATTCTCCAATTGAACTATGTTTTTTTAATTAGTACTTGTTGATTTACCACGTAACTTTTAAAATCACTTCACACAGAAAAAAAAATTTCTGGTCAAATAATCGTACTATAAGGTAATGACATTTCCGGTAAAAAAAAAAAAAAATGAGACTTTGGTAAATAAAGCCAAAATATATGGTATTTAAACCTTTTGTTTGGTAACTTTTCCGTTCATATGGTTCTGGTTTTCAAAATTGCAGTTCGTGTTACCATTCATTTAGTAAGTAATACAAAACTGAAAAGTAAATGTAACTGAATAAATAGTTGTTATGCTATAGTTTAAGGTGAGATAACATGATGAAATTACAGCATTTCACCACGTTTATCAAATTTTATCACGTATTATAAAAATATATTTTATTGTTTATTTTACTAAAATCATTAACAAGGCAGTTCGTCTCTATCGTGCTTTTTGATGTTCAAAGAGACGCAGAAATACGGCAATTTTTAACGTAATATGGTAGCTTTAACCGCAAATTTTTTCTTAGTGTATATTAAAATTCGTAATTGAAAGCAGTTTTTTTTTTCTGACTGAAATATGAAACTTGTTTCATAAAATGTTGCAAATTTATGAAACAAGTTTCATAAATTTACAACACCAAATATATTTTATTAGGCCATAACTATTTTCTCGCTCTGTCATTCCTTATAAATATAACGAACGCTGCATTTGACTTTCACACTTTTTTCCCCAAAACAGCTGACAAAATAATGTTTTTTTTCTTCTGAAATAAAACGATTTAATGCATGTTTTAGAAGTCAATTTCGCAAATTTGAACATAAGCTTTTGTGACATGAACAGTTTCTCAGTGTGACATTGTTTCAAATGGCACTCTTCATATCGTATTTAAGTAATAACATTTAACAAATTAGAATGAAAATTTTTTTTATTGAAATGATACAACGGACGTTCTATAGTTCAATTTCATATATTTACGGTGAAATATATGATTTTAGGCCATAAACGGTTTTTCAGTTTGTTATTCTATAATTGTTTGTTATTCTGGTAGTTTTACCCTATTTTTTTTCTCAATGTATATAAACCACCTTAACTCACCCTCTGGTCTGGACTGCAGACCTTTTTTTATGGTGGTTAGAGCATCCTGTTACAGTCATGGAGGTCCTTGGTTCGATTCCAGCCGACAGGCTACGAACACTTTTCCCGCTCACTTTCTCACTCCTATGCGGGTTAAATTTGAATAGCAAGTGTTTTTCCAAAAACATATATTTAAAAAAACTATTTCTTCAAAAATATATGTTTTTTTTCTCTCTCTCTGGTATTGTAACTATATAATGTACGTTTTATAAAAACGATTTCATTCCTTTGTATCTTGAAACAAATTGAGTTGGAGTTGAAACTGTTATATGGATACTAATGAAAACTATCAGTTGACTATTTCTTCTCTATACCTACGAGTTTCTTTTCAGCTAAAATATGTTATTTTATTAAACGTTAGGGGAGGTTTCGTAGGAAGGTGTCGTGCATTTCGTAGCCCTGTCATAATAAATTGTAAATTAGAAGAAGTAAATTGTAAATTAGACTCATATTTGATGGAAAACCCTTAAGGTGATTAACACAACCGCTATTATTAAATCAATATAGTTAAAAAAAAAACTAAAAAGTAGAAAAAAATAATAGTAAAAATACAACAAACAGTATATAAAATAAACAAGCTATTTTATACATTAATAGAAGTAGAAATATCACATTTTATTAAAATAATGAACTTACTAAAAAGCTAGTTATACAAACATCATTATCTGAATATAATACACCATTTAATTAAAAACAAGAACACAATTAGTTAGAGAGTCTGAACGTTTTGTTTAAAAGGTTAATATGTTGTTAAATTTGAAATACTAATAACAATGTTGTTTTTGATGAAACAAATACAAAATTTTTAAAGCTGTTTAGTAAAGAAAAAGTGTACATATATTTTGTGTATCGACATCAAACGTGAGTAAAAAAATTTGGCTTTGCTTTAGCAGAATAAGAAAAAAAAAAACGTTTTGTTCTACAAATTTCTTTTGTGGATTTAGTAAAATAAAAACTTAAACAATTATTTGCCCTATGAAGATTTTTTCGCTTCTTTTTTACCATTTTAATTTACAATTAGATTTAGCCTAAGAAGTAAAAGTATGATGTATGAACAATTTTAATGAAATGTTTTAAATTTTTTGCGTGCGTTTATTTCATTTGAAAGTTGTAAGGAAATCAATGTTGTTACTTGTTATTCTATATAGAGAGAAAGAAAATGGTGGTTAAATAAGAATGAATGAATTGAATTATAATGTATTGATCAGCAATAAAATTTAAAATATCAATACATTTCGTTTAATTTTAAACTTTTTTTTCCCTTCCAACTATGGTTGTTGTTTCAGATGATGGTTATTATCACAATTGATCACGATTAAAAAAAAAATATACAATACATAAAAGTCCAATATATCCTTGGGATTTAATTTTATACATCGATAAACTGCGAGTATAGGNTTCCCTTCCAACTATGGTTGTTGTTTCAGATGATGGTTATTATCACAATTGATCACGATTAAAAAAAAAATATACAATACATAAAAGTCCAATATATCCTTGGGATTTAATTTTATACACCGATAAACTGCGAGTATACTGTAAAAAATTCCGGATCAATTTATGGTAAAACGCACCTACAATCAGCGTGCCGATAGTTTTTACTGTAAAATCCTTTTTTACAGTGAAATTTTACGGAATGAAAAATCTGATATACCATAATGTTTACAGTAATATTTCACTAATTTTTACTGTAATATTCACAGTCACTGTGGTTAAATAATAGTTACTTTAAAATATACAGCATAAAATTTTGTGGTAAAAATAGATTTTACTGTAAAATTAATTTTACAGATGATGCACTCAGGATGTCGGAACTTTTTACAGTAATTTTATCGATGTTTTTTTACAGTGTACAAATATCATATTTTTAATAAAATGAAGGAATTATGAATTTGGTTAAAACTAATTATTCCCTGTTCCTTAATGCATTTGAAAGAAATTAAAAATGAATTTAAAAGTTGAATATAATTTAATAAAAAAAGCCCGCGTTTAGTAAGAAATTTCAAAAGTTTTTTTAAGCAAACTAATATAAAAACCAATTTGTTGCAAATTTTAAGTACTATGCATCAAAATTGTAATTTTTTTAAAAGTTTTTTTATAAAACAAATAGATTGAGGGTCTGAGTTTAAAAGTTGTTTGAAAAGCTTACTTTAAAATGCATTTTAAATTCAAGGTAATCTTTCGGACAACGAAAATGAAGTATAAATTGATTATCCATCGTACAAATAAATGAAACTACTAAGATACATTGAAACTACTACTACTACATTGATAGTTTGTATTGAAATATCGCACAATTTAATAACACGATTTATATGAAGTTTTATAATTTATTATGATCAGCAAAGAATTATGAATCTAAACATTACATAGAAGCATCGAGTACTCTTAAAAATATAATATTTTATTATTATTAAATTAAATATTATTTTGTTTACATAGAAATAAAAAGATTTGTTTTCTTGATAGCTATGCTCGAATTATCCATAGAAAAATGTGCAAAGTCAAAAAAGCTTTATCTACTTTTTTTCTTATTTTAATCGTTAAAATGTTTAAACTTTAATTTTAAACTAATTCTTCGATTGGTTCAATATTTACACAAACTAATCATGATTTAAAAATAAAATATATACTGTTTTCTTTAAATTTATCATTTTTAAATTATAATAATAAAAAATCCTTCTGGTTTCTTTTATAAGATTTCAATCATAGCATTTAATGTTTTCTTAAAATATCCATTAACACAATGATAACAAGCTGACATCTTAAATTATTTTAAAAGAAATATTCTATTTTTATTGAAGTAATTTACAGTTCCCTCTCTTTTTTTTTATTACCTTTAATTACTTGAACTTTTTATTACACTAATAAAATTAAACACTGTTATAATTAAAATAAAGCAACGTGTTATGCACTGAAAAATTTGTACGAATGTTTTCCCGCCTTGCTCATTAGGCCTGACTAAAGCAAAACAATGTCACGCCATTCACAGATTGTTTTTTTTATAATTATAATTAAATTATAACAAAATTTTATGAATATTGTTTTCGATCACTTTAATTATATGGAAAGGTTTGCATAGATTGCTAGATAAAATTGTTAACAGGAACCAATTCTAAAAAGATAAACTTTTTCAATTTATTTTTTAATATTTAAAATAATGTACTATTTACAATACATGATACTTGAATATAAATGTAATATTAATTACTCATACATTAGTTTCATACATTATACATACAATGATATAATGAGAAACAATGCCTTCATGTCTGCATAATGTTTGCATTGATTGATTGTTTTTTATAATAATCAACTTTTTGCTTTTGTTTACAATTTTTGCTGTAAACATAAGCAATGTAAACCACAACTAAGGTGAAAAGAATAAAAAAGAATATGAGTGAACTAGAAATAAAAATTCAAAACACGTTTGAAAATTTACATCATATTAAAAAAAAAAATCAAAGAAGAAAAAATGAGAGAACAGAACGCTATAGTTGAATCAAGTTGCTGTTCCGTGTTCGTAACTCCAAAAGTCGTAAAACTCAAAACATTACCTGGTCCCCTCCCTCATACACCTGTCACAGCATTCCAGTGACGTCACATGTCACATGATAATACACCTTAGCAACGCCGACGACGCCGCGCGAAACGGTGGAACCATTCATTCTTCAAAATGGCGGCATTCGAGCAGGTTTCTCGTCTGCTCTAAAACTTGATACATAGTGAAATTGTGTTAAAAAAAATACTTCCCAACCTTGGATTATAAATTTTTTTACTGAGGATTACACACAAGAACATGGTGTTGGTAAGTGTTTAAGCATTTCACCTTATCGCAACTGTCACTTCTGTGATTTTTTTATTATTCGATTCCGTCAACTTACGAAGTTTTGTTTTGGCTCTTTCTTACTTTAAAAAGGGGGAAAAAGTTACGTATGTCCCGCGCAAGGTAGTCTGGGAAGGAATCTGACAGGTTGTTTTGTTGGTCGGGCCCGCAGTACGGCCAACTAAAGGGGGTTAGAGGCGGAACTTCTTGAATCATTTGTTTTTAAATGCTATGTATCGTCTGTTTTTCTTTACAATTATTCATTGTTAAAAGCACACAAAGTAACAAAATGATTAGCCCAAACCTTTCGTTGAAAATTAAATCATTTTTCTCTATCCCATGTAATGGGATTCAGTTTAGTTTGTTTTGAATTTGAAATAATATTGAAATTGAACACCTAAATATTCTTAAATAGAATATTTTCCTTAAAATATCATGAAGAAACTTAATTATTAATCGTATTTTAACTTTTTTTTCTAAAAGTATGATGGCTATTAATTTTATTTAAATTAGCCTTTAAAAGTGCTGATAATTCAAATCCAACTTGATATCTTCGATAAANAAAATATCATGAAGAAAACTTAGTTTCTATTTTCTGTGCTGATTACACTATTAGATAAGCGAGAATTGTTCCGATTAATTAATTTTTATTTTATGAAATTGCTTTTATAAAAAATATTTCTTTACAGTAATTATTCGTTTCATTTTTTGAAAGGTTATTTTTTTTTAACATTGTGTACAGCAATGAGAAGTTAAACCATTTATTGTTCAGTTTTTAAATTGTATAATGATGAAATTCAAAATCAAATCAAACGTAACTAATAAGCAAGCGTTCAGCTTGTTCTTTAACTGAATTAATTGTATGTTTGAGAATTTATTATTACAAAAAATAGAAAAAAGAAATGGCAATTGAAAAAAAAAAGTGGCATTCGCTGCAGTAATAAAGGCTTAGCTTAATTATCATTCTATCTTTATATATAATATTTAACTAATTGAGTACAAAAGTTGTTCAACAATATTTTAATTGAATCATGGGAATTATTCTTATTACATAGGTATAAATATAATTATTATAAATATGATTTTAAATATAATTAATGAACATGCAAACTAATTTTGAATTTAAGTAAAAAATAAACAATTTTCTTTTCCTTAAATATAGGATTTTTTTAAAATTAGTTTTATTTTTTGAAATGTATCTGATTAAATGTACAAAATGGGAACTATTTAAATTTAAACAGTACAAATGAGATTAACAGTGACAAAATTTTTTTTAAATTGAGTGTGATTCTTAGTGGAATATTCTGTCTCGAATTTAACGTTAAAAATTGAACTTATCTATTTCCTTATTTATGACACTTTTGTTAGGTATGTATTCTTCATTTAATTTGTATTATAGTGTTTTCAATTATTAACATAATTTTAAATTTCATTAACTCTACTCAATATTCTTATTGAGAAAACATCATACTGTTCATCCTGTTAGCTTTCACCGTTTGAGCAAATTATTTCATAAAGATGTCCTGGCAAATCATGAAATGATTTGAATTTAATTTTTATTTAAGACTGCTGATTTAAATCTCGATTTATAAATGTTTTTATTTAAAGTAATATTTTTTACCAACGCAACTTCAAATCAATGAAATGCTTTTAATATGATTGTTATGTAAATACATGTGGATAATTTTATTGAATTAATAAATTACACATAATAAATTTAGATGGGCTAAATTAAATTTTAAAAAAAAAGAAGTCCGTTGTGATTGACTGGTGCATGACTCCCAAGATATTTATACTACACTGTAAAAAATTCCGGTTCAAATTGTGGTAAAAAGTACTGTCACCCTGAATGCGACCACCTTAAAAAGAAATTTTACTGTATGATTGTGAAGTACTTCACTTAATAAATTCTCTTTCTAATAAAAACTCCTTTGACTATGACGGTATTAATGTAAAATTAATTAAACTATTTGCTCTCAATAATATAAATTTTATAACTAATTTCATCAATACCTCAATCAAGTCATCCATATTTCCAACTTCTTTAAAAAGAGCAACCATAACTCCTATTTTTAAAACCGGCGATAAAAATTGCCTATCAAACTATAGACCAATTTCAATATTACCTGTTTTTTCCAAAATCATTGAAAAAGCTCTAGCTGATAAAATGTACAATTATTTAAAACATACAAATTTTTTCTCTGTTAATCAACATGGATTTATTAAAGGCAAAAGTACAGAAAAAGCTCTTTTGGAATTTTCAAAATTTATTCATAATAGTATTGCTGAAAATAAGATAACAGTAGCTATATTTCTTGATATATCAAAAGCTTTCGATAATGTCAATCACAATCTTTTAATTAAAAAATTAGAATTTGCTGGTTTCAGAGGAATTATGTTAAATTGGTTTGTTTCATATCTTTCAAACAGAGAACATAGAGTTAAAATCCGAAGTAATTTTAGTAATTATATTTTTTCAAACCGTGGTGTTCCTCAAGGATCTATTCTAGGACCCTTATTGTTTATTATATTCATCAATGACTTTTGTCAACTCAAACTTTTTGGTAAGATAATAACGTATGCTGATGATTCCGTAATTTTGTATTCTTGCACTGATTTAAATCAACTAATTTTTCAAATTCAATCTGATTTACGCATAATTTCAAAATGGTTTACAATAAATGACTTAAATTTAAATCTAAATAAAACTAAATATATTTATTTCAGTTTAAGAAAATCAGAATTTAACTTAAATTTAAAATTTCACTCTCTCTCCTGCAAAAGTACTAATGAAAATTGTCAATGCTATATTCTACAATCTGTAAATAATATCAAATATTTAGGACTATATATCGATTCTAATTTAAAATGGAAAACACATATTAACAATTTAGTTAAAAAATTGCGTTTCGTTTTAGTTAAATTTTATCACCTTAAGAATAAAATTCATTTTAATTTTGTGAAAGCACTCTATTACTCCTGGTTTTATTCTTTAATTAATTATGGTGCGATAATATATGGCGGTGAATATAAAACTAATTTACTTCCCTTAATCTCAGTTCAGAATAAATGCTTCAAGATTATTAATTCTCTAAATATAAATAATTCAAGTGTAACTACTACCAATATATATACAAGAATTAACCTATTACCATTTCGCCATAATGTATTTTTTCGTATTTTACTCTATTTACACAACAATAAATTAATATGCAAATTAAAAACTAATGTGTCTGAAAGGAGACCAACTGAAATGTATGAGATTCCCTTCTTTACAAAAGAAATTTCACGAAAACAGTTTTTTTACTTAGCACCTAAATTATATAATAAATTACCATTTCAGTTGCAAAACATCAAAATATATTCTTCTTTTAAGCGTGCTTTATTTCAATTTGTGATGAACATTGACGATTTAGATCTCTATTTTTCACTTTAAAGGAAGCATTTGATTTTTTATACCAGTCTTGTGCCAATCCAAATGAATTTCTTATGTTACCTTTGTTATTTTTTTTTATTTATTTATTTATTTATTCATTTTTTTATATATATAGTTTCATGCATTTTTTTTTCTATTATTACAGTGTTCAACAATATATGACGTCTTATGATGAGCAAAATAATTTATGATTGTAATACCCCCTTTTTTTTTCTTTCTTTCTTTTCTTTTTTTTTAAATTTCTATTTTAAATTTATTGTATTACTTTTCTTTGTCGCCTGGACAGGATTTTCCTCTTGACGACGAATATATATTCTTTGTATTTATGTGTTTTTGTTCTCAATAAAGTTATATTTGTTTGTTAAAAAAAAAAAAAAAAATTCATTTTTACCGGGAAATTTTAATACCGTAATTTTTAAAGTACTATTTATTTAATTACCGTGATTCCGTTATTTGGCTGTAATTATTACTATAAAATTTAGAGTTCATAAAATATTTGTTTCGTAAAATTTTACCGTAAAAAGTACTCTTGACCGGAAAGTACTGGCACCCTGAGTGCCGGTACTCTTTATCGTTATTTGATCTGGAAATTTTTACAGTGTTGATATTCCCACAAATTTAGCATTTGCTTTTTGAAATTCGGTCACGTAACATTTTTATTTATTAAAATAAATATACATAACTATAAAGAAGGTTTAACCCCGACCTCTTTTCGGGAGGCACGATGTTTGGATTAGTTATAAGATTTAACGCTAATTTAATAAAATATAGAAGTCCGAATCAATAATGACTTCATAAAGGAGAAATCGTTATCGATATTGCAATATATAAATATATAAAAGGATAGTTTCCCCTTAATTTAATATTACATGTGCTTGTTACTTAACTTATGCCATAATTATAAACATATTTTGTAGAGTAGCCTTCTGACAAGATATAATTTGTAGCTTTAAAATCGTATTCAAAAATCCTCTGAAAGATAAACTTAAATATTAATCGTATTTTAACTTTTTTTTCTAAAAGTATGATGGCTATTAATTTTATTTAAATTAGCCTTTAAAAGTGCCGATAATTCAAATCCAACTTGATATCTTCGATAAAGATTGAATTGAAAAAAATATTTTAATTATGCTCATGAAAAATTTGCCAGATTTTCAGTTAGAGATTTAATGTTGAAGTCTTTAGGTAATTTTTTTTTTTTTGTATATTTCTACTAGAATATTGCACAAATTTTAAAATACGTAATTTTGTTTCATGAAATCAATGTATCATAATTTATTGCTAACTACCGTATTTTATACATATAAAAAAAATACATATATGTATTTTTCGTTGAACTTATTATTCCCAATTTCCAGGGGGGGGGGCTGTTTAATTATAAAATAAATCGTACTTTCATTAGTAACTTAATTTGTTGAGGCATTTTTCTGCATTCTAAAAAGTTATATTTTATCACAAACCATATGTTGAAAATCTAATAATGAGTTTTTGATAAAACTAATTTATTTTATGAACCTAAAATATACTTTTTGTAAATTATATATGA